CGGGTGGCTCATATGGTGGCAAACTGCCACCCGGCTCAGGAGGAGCCGGCTTCAGGGGTGCATCCACGTGCCGCCACGCCACTGGCCTTGTAGCTCGAGCCGGTGGTTCACACCGTTGGGGAGGGGGTTACTACTTCACCATCATCCCCTCCTCCGGCACCAGAGCCGGCGCCACGACCACCACTGGGGCTGATTCCTACACGCCGAAGTTGTCGGCATACGGTTGTCGGTGACGGTTCTATGGACACAGATGAGGACTCCTTGGCCAAGGCTATGCGGCGTAAAGCAGCACAAAACCTCAACAACCAAGGTATTACATCCTCACCCAGATCCTTTTTAGCCTTTTCCAATACAGCCATTGTTTCTAAGTTGAATAATGTGGGAGTTACTCTAGGAAAGAATGAGAAGGAAATTTCTATTTTGACTAACGCTTTGAAACATTTGGAATATGACCGATTAAAAGTTACTCCACGTGTTTCTAGAAAGTCGTATTCCTCTCATACTGATGAGGAGGAGCTGCATGCCACGTCAGATGGTCAACTACTCTCTCACTTAGTAGGAGAGGTTTCGGACGTGGGCGTAGATGAACCCGGGCTTAGCTCATTGATTGAGCTTACAGCATCCGGACGTAAATCAAAGGCCACACGTTCGAAAAAAGATAGTAAGTCCCATAAGAGGGCGAAATGTCCTAAATCTCCTATTGTTTACTCATGAATGGAATGTTTTTTAATAGCAGAGGTCTTTCGTGACTTGGCTAAACATTTTATTCATTGTGGAATGTAATATGGAATACAATTTAGATTTTTTGGCTATTTCTGAAACGAGGAGACGTGATTTCTCAGTAAGTCTGCTTAACCGTATTTCTGGCGGGATAGACTTTAAATGGGTTTCACGACCGCCTAGAGGTCGTTCTGGGGGCATTCTACTTGGCGTAAATACAGGGACTATGGATGTTTTGGCTAGTTTGGATGGTGAGTTTCACGTTAAACTCCATATTCGCAACAAGGTCAACAACTTCACATGGACCCTTGTCACCGTGTATGGGGAAGCCCAGGAGGAGTTCAAGGCAGATTTTCTCCGTGAATTGGTTAATCTGGCAAAAGATAATCCCTATCCCATTCTTATAGGTGGGCATTTCAATTTGCTTCGATTTCCAAATGAGAAAAGCCGCGGTAGGTTTGATAATCATTGGCCTCTCCTTTTCAATGCTGTCATCGACAGTCTAGACCTGAGAGAGGTTTCCATGATTGGAAGACAATTCACTTGGGCGAAGAACCGACATATGAGAAATTAGATCACGTTTTAATGGATACCGACTGGGAATCTAAATTTCCTATGGTGTCTGTTCGTGCTCTACCTCATATTGAGGCTATATCAGACCACACACCCATTCTCCTAACTACTGGTTTGCCACGACCACAACATAGACACAAGTTCAAGTTCAAACTTGGGTGGTTGCTTCAGGATGGCTTCTATGACATGGTCAAGGAGGTGTGGGAGAAACCGGTGGCCGGGCTCACCCCAATTCACAAACGGAATAACAAAATGCGTGCATTACGCAAATTCCTTGGTGGTTGGGCTAGGCATACGATGGGTATCCTCAAAAAGGAGAAGCTTCGTCTTTCATCTATTATTGATGAATTACAAGCTTTGGCAGAGGTTAGACCTCTATCTGAGCATGAAATTGAGATCAAGAGTCATTCAAATGCACAGATAGCTAGCATGTTGTGTGAAGAGGAACTCAAATGGTACCAACATTCTGACTCACAATTTATCCTGAAAGGTGATTCGAATACTAAATATTTTCATGGAGTCGCCAGTGGCAGACACCGGAAACAAATTGTTCATTCCTTAGAACAGGATGAGGGCACGATTGAGGGGCATGAGCAACTTAAATCGTATATCACTAACTATTATAAAATCTGTTCGGAGCCCCAGAGTAAGGAAATTTCTCGATGGATGAGTCCCGAACAGATGACATCCCGCAGGTCTCTGATGAGGAAAACGGCCTTCTAACAACCCCATACTCTAAGGAGGAAGTTAGAAAGGCGGTTTTCCTGATGGATCACAACAAAGCCTCGGGTCCGGATGGTTTTCCCGCTGAGTTCTATCAGAACTTCTGGGAAGTCATCAAACCGGATCTCCTACTTTTATTTAGCGACCTACATGCTGGCCAATTAGAATTGTTTCGCTTAAACTTTGGCGAGATTATTGTATTACCTAAGGTTAATGAGGCTGAAAGGATACAACAATATAGAGCTATTTGCCTCCTTAATGTTAGTTTTAAAATATTCATGAAGGTTGCGACTATTAGGCTAAATTCCGTTGCTGAACACGTGATTCATCCTTCATAGACTGCTTTTATGCAAGGCAGACACATCCTAGATGGAGTTGTTATCCTTCATGAAACAGTCCATGAATTACATCGAAAAAAGTTGAATGGGGTGGTACTCAAAATTGACTTTGAAAAAGCTTATGACAAAGTCAAATGGCCATTTCTTCAACAGACTCTCAGAATGAAAGGATTCTCTCCAGAGTGGTGTGCTATGATCCATAGCTTTATTTCTGGAGGTAGTGTTGCCATTAAAGTCAATGATGATGTTGGACACTATTTCCAAATAAAGAAGGGATTGCGACAAGGTGACTCGGTATCGCCCATGCTATTTAATATAGTGGCAGATATGCTAGCGGTCATGATTGAGCACGCCAAGATTGATGGCCAAATAGATGGGGTAGTAAATCATCTAGTTGATGGTGGTCTCTCTATACTTCAATATGCCGACGATACAATTCTCTTCATGGATCATGACCTTGAGAAAGCGAGAAATCTGAAATTAATTTTATCAGCATTCGAGCAATTGTCGGGTCTTAAGATCAATTATCATAAAAGTGAATTGTTTTGTTTTGGCGAGGCTCAAGACGAGGCTCACCTGTACGCTAAATTGTTCGGATGCGGGTTGGGCCAGTTTCCAATCACATATTTGGGGATACCGATACATTATCGGAGACTCAAAAATGTTGAATGGAAACACGTCAAGGAGAGACTGCAAAAAAGACATAGCAGTTGGAAAGGTAAATTGTTGTCTCTTAGTGGAAGATTGGTCCTCATAAATTCAGTACTAAGTAACATGGTACTATATATGATCTCCTTCTTCCAGTTGCCGAAAGGAGTTTTACATAGATTGGATTATTTCTGATCAAGATTCTTTTGGCAAGGAGATAGTGAAAGGAAAAAAATATCGACTAGCTAAATGGAGTGTGGTTTGCCGTCCCAAAGACCAAGGTGGGTTGGGCATTCATGACCTTGAGGTTAAGAATAAGACCCTCCTTGGCAAATGGTTGTTTAGATTACTGACCGAAGATGGTGTATGACAAACCCTCCTGAGGAGGAAATATGTGGGTTCCAAGGCGATAACCCAAGTATATTAGAAGCCTGGGGATTCTCACTTTTGGGCGGGTCTAATGGCCACGAAGAAATATTTCTTCTCTTATGGATCCTTCTCGATTAAGGACGGCTCGGAAATTAGATTCTGAGAGGACAAATGGCTAGGAAATACCACACTCTGGGAACAATATCCGGCTCTATACAACATTGTACGTCAAAAGAGTGATACTATCACGACGGTAATGCAATCATTTTCGCCAAATGTGACATTCAGAAGAGATTTAATTGGACCTAGACTCCAATCATGGTACATCCTGCTCCAGCGGTTGTCCACGGTGCAATTGTCACATGGGTCTGATATATTTCGATGGAACCTACATGGGAATGGACAATTCTCAGTGCAGTCTATGTATAGAGCATTAATCCAGTTTGGTCTGCCAGTTGATAATAACAAGAAGATCTGGAAGATGAAGATACCCCTTAAGAATAAAATCTTTGTGTGGTATCTTCGTCGCGGAGTCATTCTTACTAAAGATAATCTTATTAAGAGAAATTGGCATGCAAGTCCGCAATGTGTCTTTTGTCACCATGATGAGACAATAAAACATTTTTTCTTCCAATGCAAATTGGCTCGGTTTATATGGCCAGTCATCCAGATAGCTTCTGGCTTGTATCCTCCTTGTAGTATTGCTAATTTATTTGGCAACTGGTTACACGGGATTGATCACAGGTTTAGAACTCTTCTTAGGGTTGGAGCGCTTGCCATTATCTGGTCGCTTTGGCTATGTAGAAATGGTTAGGTTTTCAATGATAGAAGTACTTCTCTGATGCAGGTTATCTACATATGTACCGGGACTCTTCATTTATGGTCCCCTCTACAAGGCGTGGAGAATTGAGACTTGTTTACGGAGGTGTGCACGATTGGAGGATACGGCGAGGAATACTTTTACCCAACATGGGTGGCAGCATGATCTTAGGATTGACCCACCTCCGCTTTAGCGTTATACGGACTCTACATGTTTCTTTGTATTTCGCCTTTTTTTATTGTTCGTGCGAGAGGACTTTGTATGGCTGTGTGCATCTTAATTATGCAGAGGCCAGATGTAATACTTAAATCTTTTAAGTAATAAAGCGCCCCTTTTCGGAAAAAAAAGTACTACATTGAAAAACTAGATCTTCCACCACAAAAAATATGGAGCAAGTCGTCAAGGGCGTCATCATCGGACCTGATCGGGGAAACTCGATTTCTGCAGGTTGACATGCAGGCCCGACGCATCCCTGAAGACAGCGGGGAAATCTCTTTTCGTAAGTGATTTACGTAGGAGTTCATAGGTGTATTCATGATGGTATATCCTTGATGTGATTTATGAGCTAGTAAGAACTGTACTTTATCGAAAAAAACTCCTGAAATCGTACATGCATTCACAATAACAGCATTTATACTCTCAAATATATAGTACGAATTTTAGTCTATAATGAGGCGGGAGAAAACAACAACCAACCAATGTCCTTTCCGACTAAGATCTAACTGATTTAACAACAATAATTTAAAAAAACCATTGCATGCCTGTAGGTCGTACTACGCATCACATCGATCGGATGAGAAACCTTGTACTCATTGACGCTTTGGAGGATGCATGAGGCTGTAAAGCACGTGGCTGGGCATAACGGCGCGACACATTGGGCACGTCTTGGCTCTCTGCAGCCACGGCGTAAGGCAGGAGCGGTGGAAAGCGTGGGAGCAACCAGGCAGCCTCACAGCGTCTTGATCCTCCACCAGGTATGACAGGCAGATACAACACTCCGCCATATCCTCGACGACCGTCACCCAGATATTAAGAGATATGTCAATGTCGTAGCGACCAGCCTGGTCACCGAGGCTACGAAAGACGACCCCGGCGACATGGTCGGGCAGGAACTCGTCCCAGTTGGCGCGGTTGAGATCGAACCCCTCGAGGACCGGCGTCTCCCTCAGCATCCTGTGGACGGCGTCGCTGCAGGCCCGGCGGCTTCTGAAGGTGGCCTTGGGGTCGCGAATCGGGAACACCTCGTAGATCCCCTGGGGCGCCTCCTGCCGGATGCTTCCGCTTGCCTTGGAGCCCGGCTTGCCCAGCTCGTAGCTCGCGACCAACTCGCCGAGCAGTTTCACGACGCACCGCTTGTTTGCGTGGGTTTTGGCCCGCCTCCTGACAGTGGCTTCTCCGCGGACTCGGCACTCCGCGGCGCAGGACGGCATGTTCCTGAACGGCGAAGGCAGCGACGCCGCCGCCGCCATTGAATCGAGGTCTCCCCGAGGAGTCTAACCAATTGCTAGATTCGCTGAGCACCGTCAAGGAGTAAGGAAAGGTGGTACCGTGCGTATATAGGAGCATCGTGTCAGGGTTTAACCCTATACTCAAATTCTCTACTACATTGCCCCTCAAACTTTACTAGATTGAGCCCTGCACGGAGCGCTTTTGTCGATTCAGATATGACGTGAACAAGGCAAACTCTATGTACATGTATTAATTGGTAATCAGCAACGCAACGGCTTGGAAACGGCCGCAGCGACCGACTCGTATACGGGACATACTACATGTAGGGTACGTACTCCATATATTTCCAACTGCCCTAGACTCGAGTCGTCGACGTCCAAGCGGAATAACCGATACAGTTGGGTACGGAGAGAAACCGCTTCGCTCCACGAGAAAAGCGATCGTGGAGGCGATCGCTTCTGAGGCCAACTCCACCAGCCGCCGCCGGTCCCTGCCTCTTCCGTTTGGCCACTCCGGCCACGCGAGGAGGTGGGGACCACGGCGCTTCGACGCCGGTCTGTAGTTAGGGTTTGTCTAGTGTCTTCTTAGGGCGTCGTTGGGGTGGTGGAAGCGACGTCCGGACAAATAAATCTGCCTCAACTCCACTCCCACATCGACGACGACCTTCACGGTGGCGTCTCGGAGTTGATGGCAACGTAGGTTGTTCGGTCCTGTAGATCGGCAGCTTGGTCTTCTCGTCGTTCTTCAGATCTGGCGATGAATAAAAGTATTTCAGTTTCTTCTCCGATGCGGTGTTCTACACTGTGGTCGGTGAGGGATCTGGACGGAAGTGTGTCCAAGCGGGGATGGTGTGGCGGCGGCATCTTCCTCGTGGTGGACTTGTGTTCTGGGGCTTCATCGTTGCGACGACGTTTTCTCCAACGTCGGAGTGGAGCCCGGGAGGTCGTCCAGGAGTACGCGCAGACTGCTATTTGCGCATTGTCACAGCTGGAAGATGGTGTATCCTGTGCTGGTTTTGTGGTTGGAGGCTGACAGTTCTGGTTTCTTCCTCCGACGTTGTAGTCGTGCGGGGATTTCAGTTCTGGAGCTTGATGGCGTGTCCGGGGACATGTTGCCCCGGTCTGATTCGTTCAACGGCAATGGTTTTGCTTCTGGCAAACGACTTTGGAGGTCCGTAAAGCTGTTGATCAGCGATGGAGCCGCGTCGAGCTCGGGTGTAGAGGTGATTTGTCTTCCGTCCCTTTGGTGGTCGCTTCGGTGGTGTCGAAGGAGGGAGATAGGCGCTGGTTTTTTGCATAGGTTTATCCTATCTTTTCAGGCATGTAAGGTCGGTGTGTACGTGCCTTGTAACTTGATTTCATCTTATAAATGAGACACGTATTACCATGCAAAAAAAAACTTATATTCCAAGCCACAGCCACCCCACCTCCGCCGGCGGAAACCTACCAAGAAGCCGATCGATAGACGTACGTGACCGACGAGTGAGGAGATGCCGGCACCGAACGTCATCGACCAGGTGCTCGACGAGGCCATCGTTGGCGCCACTTACGGCTCCATCTACCACTTCGTCAAGGGCGTCTGCACCTCCCCAAACGGGAGCCACCTCGCCGGCGGCTTTCTGTCGGTCCCCATGAACGCACTCTACGTGGGCCGTTGGGCAGCCTGGTTTGGCGTTGCCCAGTCGACTAAGTGCACCGTTCAGCACGCGTCCCCTGGATGCCCCTTTGAAAACACGGCCGCCTTAGGAGTCGCCCAAACCCTCTTCGCCATGCATCACGGGGCACGCGTGGCCCTCCGCACCGGGCTCATAGCTGCGGCGATGGGCGGGGTCCTTGACATGACCATTTATAGCCGAAAACGCTCTGCTTGCAGAGCTGGGGTTCCCGCCACCCCACGTTGTGTTTGATTGATGTTAGCTTGTGTTTGCTTTGCTTGTTAAACTGTAATTTTTCATTTGTAAATTCGAGTGTAAAATATATACTCTTGTAATGTTAACTGTTACTCCCTTCGTCATAAAATAAGTGTTGTTGATTCAGCACAACTTTAATTTAATTAAAAGGTTGTAATACTATACAAGGCCGGGGCAAGTAGCCTTTTCAATGAAAAACTCGGTGCAATAATAACAAAAAATCCTAAATGATAGAAAGTGCATATGATTTAGCCTCTCTGAGCACTCGTTGGTGGACCGTCGGATTTGAGCTTGTATAATCTTCTCTCTTGACTCAACTCGAAGTCCCGATTCTCAAATCTCACTCACCCACCTTCCTATGTGGATCATCGGCGATCATCCCTTGATCTGGCTGTCTTAGCATGGCTCCCTGGTAAGCAGCTCCCAAGCAGTGGCGCGCATTGAAGCCATTCATGCTATCGACCCGCTCCAAGCAGTCGTTGGTGGACCGTCGGATTTGAGCTTGTATAATCTTCTCTCTTGACTCAACTCGAAGTCCCAATTCTCAAATCTCACTCACCCACCTTCATGTGCGGATCATCGGCGGACATCCCTTGATCTGCCTGTCTTTGCGTGGCTCCCTGGCAACCAGCTCCCAAGCAGCGTCGCCCATTGAAGCCGTTCATGCTATCGACCCTCTCCGACCAGTCGTTGGTGGACCATCGGATTTGAGCTTGTATGATCTTCTCTCTTGACTCAATTTGAAGTCCCGATTCTCAAATCTCACTCATCCACCTTCGTGTGTGGATCATCGACGGCCATCCCTTGATCTGGTTGTCTTTGCGTGGCTCCCTGGCAACCAGCTCCCGCATTGAAGCCGTTCATGCTATCAACCACGAGAGCCATGGAGAAGAGAGAGAGCGTACATGTTGTCGATCACCACGAGCCAGGGAGCAAGAGAGCAACAACATCCTCTCGAGCCACCATTACCACAGCCACGGTGGAGACAGGCGGGGAGGGTATGAGCTTTGTAGCGGTGGTAGATCTGGAGCTGGTTGAATCAGCGGTGGCGTGGAGGAGCACGCCTAACACATTCTCTCATCTATAACTTCACTAATAAGACCCCCGTGGTAGGAGAGTGAAGATGCACGAATGGTGGGTGTGGGAGATGTTGGAGTGTATATCACCAACGTAGGAGGATGAGGTCCAGAGCTGCACACTCCTCTAAGATGCCTGGCTCCAAAGCATCCAAATCATTCAGATCTGCCACTAGATCATTGTTGGGTAACGTAGTAATTTCAAAATTTTCCTACGTACACGCAAGATCATGGTCATGGCATAGCAACGAGAGGGGAGAGTGTTGTCCATGTACCCTCGTAGACCGTAAGCGGAAGCGTTATGACAATGCGGTTGATGTAGTCGTACGTCTTCACGATCCGACCGATCCAAGTACCGAACGTACGGCGCCTCCGAGTTCAGCACACGTTCAGCTCGATGACGATCCCCGGACTCCGATCCAGAAAAGTGTCGGGGATGAGTTCCGTCAGCACGACGGCGTGGTGACGATGATGATGCTCTACCGGTGCAGGGCTTCGCCTAAACTCCGTGACGATATGACCGAGGTGGAATATGGTGGAGGGGGGCACCGCACACGGCTAAGGAATGATCCGTAGATCAACTTGTGTGTCTAGGGTGTCCCCCTGCCCCCGTATATAAAGGAGCAAGGGGGGTGCGGCCGGCCCTAGGAGGAGGCGCGCCGGAGGAGTCCTACTCCCACCGGGAGTAGGACTCCCCCCCTTCCCTAGTTGGACTAGGACTTGGGGGGAAGGAGGAGAGGGGGGGAAAGGAAAAGGGGGGGCGACGCCCCCCTCCTTGTCCTATTCGGACTTGGGGGGGAGGGGCGCGCGGCTGCCCCTTGGCCCCTTCTCCTCTTCCTCCACTAGGCCCACTAAGGTCCATTAGGTAACCGGGGGGTTCCGGTAACCTCCCGGTACTCCGGTAAAATGCCGATTTCACCCGGAACACTTCCATGTCCAAACATAGGCTTCCAATATATCAATATTTATGTCTCGACCATTTCAAGACTCCTCGTCATGTCCGTGATCATATCCGGGACTCCGAACAAACTTCGGTACATCAAAACTTATAAACTCATAATAAAATTGTCATCGTAACGTTAAGCGTGCGGACCCTACGGGTTCGAGAACTATGTAGACATGACCTAGAACTATTCTCGGTCAATAACCAATAGCGGAACCTGGATGCTCATATTGGCTCCTACATATTCTACGAAGATCTTTATCGGTCAAACCGCATAACAACATACATTGTTCCCTTTGTCATCGGTATGTTACTTGCCCGAGATTCGATCATCGGTATCCAATACCTATTTCAATCTCGTTACCGGCAAGTCTCTTTACTCGTTCGGTAATACATCATCCCGCAACTAACTCATTAGCTACATTGCTTGCAAGGCTTATAGTGATGTGCATTACCGAGAGGGCCCAGAGATACCTCTTCGACAATTGGAGTGACAAAACCTAATCTCGAAATACGCCAACCCAACATGTACCTTCGGAGACACCTGTAGTACTCCTTTATAATCACCCAGTTACGTTGTGACGTTTGGTAGCAGCCAAAGTGTTCCTTCGGTAAACGGGAGTTGCATAATCTCATTGTTACAGGAACATGTATAAGTCATGAAGAAAGCAATAGCAATATACTAAACGATCAAGTGCTAGGCTAACGGAATGGGTCATGTCAATCACATCATTCTACTAATGATGTGATCCCATTAATCAAATGACAACACATGTCTATGGTTAGGAAACATAACCATCTTTGATTAATGAGCTAGTCAAGTAGAGGCATACTAGTGACGTTATGTTGGTCTATGTATTCACACATGTATAATGTTTTCGGTTAATACAATTCTAGCATGAATAATAAACATTTATCATGATATGAGGAAATAAATAATAACTTTATTATTGCCTCTTGGGCATATTTCCTTCAGTCTCACACTTGCACTAGAGTCATTAATCTAGATTACACAGTAATGATTCTAACACCCATGGAGTCTTGGTGCTGATCATGTTTTGCTCGTGAGAGAGGCTTAGTTAATGGGTCTGC